ATGCGTACATACACACATACATACATACATACATACATACATACATACATACATACATACATACATACATACATACATACATGCACACATACATACATACATACATACATACATACATACATACATGCATGCATGCATGCATGCATGCATGCATGCATACATGCATACATGCATACATGCATACGTACAGACAGACAGACAGACAGACAGACAGCCAGCCAGCCAGACAGACAGACAGACAGACAGACAGACAGACAGACAGACAGACAGACAGACATAGACAGACATAGACATACAGACAGGCAGACAGACAGACAGACAGACATAATACATATAGACATACAGACATATCTTTGTACATACAAGTACAGCTATGCGCCGCAAAGCAAGGCCGAGGGGCAATGGATATGGATCAACATCGAGACCCCCAGGCCCAAATGTTAGTCCATATTCAGTGCACCTCGGGTTTCTGGTGAAGGGGACCGGAACTCCAAGCTGCAATTGATATGGACACAAGTCTTTCCCGCACATCCTCCCCCTCATCCTCCTCGCAGACAGAACCTTCGGGCTGAGTGCTCACACACCCCTCGTACAGTTCGAGAGGCTCATACATCAAAGATCAAAGCCAAGCTGTTCCGTCACTTGTCTGGGCCCTGACTTCACCTGCGCTGTCAGGTTACCCCCATTAGGGAGCCCACAAAGGACGTACGCGCCCAGCTATGTACATGAACACGGCCCCTCGATCCGCGAGACAGGCCGCGTGATACGCACATGTGCGCAATGCGCACTCTCGAAACCAGCGCGGATTCATGTACATGTACGTCCTTCTCTCGCTCCTGACCCATGTTCCCAACCTTCCTTCCCCTCCTCCTTCCGACTCGGAGGCCCACCCCCCGATCCTCGTTGTCCGGCTTGCGGGCCGTCGAACCCGATCCTGCCTCTCTGCCCCCGCTGGCCCCCCAGAGCGGGGAGGCCGGCGCGGCTCGCGGGCCCGCCTGCCACTCCGCCCTCCACAGGTTGTCCGCGGTGTTGACCTCGGCTCTCTGCCCGCCCGCCCGGCGCACCGCCCCCGCCGGGCGGGCTCGGCCACGGGTCGGCCCGGAACCAGGGCCGAGACCAAGCGGTGATCGATCGGACGGGGGATCCAGCGGGGGAGGGGCGGGAGAGTCCGAGGAGGAACATGCGCTGCCCCTCCCTCGTTCCTGGCCCTCTCGGGGGCCTTCCGGGATGCCCCCCCGCCGGGGAGACTCGGCCGCAGGCGGGCCCTGGCCAGGGCCGCGGCTGGGCGGTGACCAATCGGACGGTGATTCAGCTTGCCTGAGCATCGTGGCACCGATGCCCTCAGATCCGGACGCTGCATTTTTGTTCACGCCTGGACTCGGGCCACAGGACCCTCACAGATCGATCTGGCTCGAAGAACGATGCGGCAAGATGGGGTCTGGGGCTCTGTTGGTGTTCTTTCTGCGATGATCCAAATTGCTCTTGCAACGTCAGATCTGACGGTCCCTATCCCCACCAGCCTGCCTGCGCCCCACTGGTCCATGAACCCCCCTAGACCAGGATATAGGCGCTTCCCCGTGGGTTTCGAGGGACCTATCCCCAACCAGAGGGGGGGTGATGGTGGGGCTTATGGATACCATGGCCAGATGGGGATGGGGATCGATTGAAAGATTCAGCAGCTTGCCCAGAACTCCAGCGCATCGACAGATTCAATGCGGAAGCTTCTCGCCGCTTTCAGCCTCCCTCGAAGGCTCCAGCCAGGGCCGCGGATGAGCAGAGACCAATCGGACTGGGATCTAGTATACAGCCGGGGCCCTGCAGAAGGAACCCTTTTCGTTGGGGAGGGGGGCTCGGTGTTCCTTGATTGTTCGACAGTTTGCCTTCTGTGTCCCTGAGGTCTTGCATGGGAGGTCGAAGTTCACCTTGTGGGAGAAAGGCGCCCCGTTCCTTATGCAGGGTTCCTTAGGTCAACGCCCCGACTGTAGCTCTGGAGACCGTTCGCGGCATTCGAGAGGACGCCCGGGACCGGCCCCGGCCCTGCCACTCCCCCACCCTCGGGCACGCCACGATTCGCTGGTGCCGGCGCGAGAATCTCCTCCTCCTCCTCCTCCTCCTCCTCCTTTCCTTTTTTGAGGTGGCCAGCCCTTACGCTTAAGCGTGTTGCGTTTTTCCTCCTCCTCCTCCTCCTCCTCGGGACGTGACCGGCCCCTCCGCCCCTCCCTCACGCCCGTGGTCGCCGGGGGATACAGTCGAGGCATTGACCTAAGGAACCCTAGATAAGGAACGAGGCCCCTCTTTTCCATGAGTTGCACTTCGATGTCGCTTCGAAAACCTAAGGAACATCCAAGGCAAGCTGCGAAACAATTAAGGGACGCGGAGCCCCTCCCCAACGAGAAGGGTTCCTTCTTCAGGGCCCCGACTGTAGAAAACAGTCTCCAGACCTCCAGAGCATGGACAAATTCAATGCGGAGGCTATTCGCCGTTTTCAACCTTTGGGGATCCTCGCCAAGCCTGGGGGCATTTGATAGATTATCCGGGATGCAACACCCGCCCTGGGGCACGGGTCGGGACTCCCCTGGAACCCGTGATGAGAAGAAAACAAGACATCGGACCTCTGAGAACAACCTCGCCTGTGCTTTGAGTCGAGGCCACGCGGAGGAGGGAAGGAGGAGGAGGAGGACGACGACAAGAGCAAGTCTATGGCGCATCAACCACGCTGCAATACGCTCTCCCGTCCCAGGTGTTACTTCACGCGCGAGTCCTCACAGGCCTCCCGGTCCCTTTCACCACCGGGGGCGCCCTCTGGAAAGACGGACGCCCCCTGGGCCTGGCTCTAGGACGAGAGCTCCCTTTCTGAGAAGTACCTCCTCGGTCCTTCTAGCCAGGAGAGGCCTGAAAGAGCATCCGAAGCGGCCCAAATTCGGCAGGTTGGCCAAACTTTGGTTGAAGTGTCGACCACATCGGCATCGCCAGGATGGCGGGGGGGGGCGGCGGCGGCGACTCATCGGAGGCGGTTTAAAATCTGAAGGAAGACTGCACGACATCGTTCGGAAGGCATGCAGATCCCGATGAACCACTCTGTCTGAAGGCAAGCGCAGAGCCACCTGTGTTGAGCGAAATTGCTCCGTCGATGTTCATGACTGCCTGTACCGCGACCCCCCCCCCGAAGTGCGAACCCAATCGTACCACAAGCCTTACTGAAGGGGCCCTGGGACACACAAATAAATACACACAAATAAACAGATTCCCCATAGTTTCCCATAGTTTCTGGGTTTTTGTCTTCCCCCCCACTTCCCATACTTTCCCATATGTTCTGGGGAATCGAAGATGAATTGTGTCTGTGTGCTTCTTTTCCTCCTGACTTACTACCCGCTGCTTCCACTTCCCACTCCCCCCCGCGCGCGCGCCAACCCCGCAACGAAACTGTTCCGTGGGTGCCCGCAGCGGGTACGGAAGAAACCGTGGGCACGAGATGCCCGACAGCGCATGTTGCCCAAGACAGGCAGCGGACGCCGCGTGGAGCAGAGAGCGACCGCCCCTGCATTCTGGAAGGCTTATCTGAAGGGGCCCATGGGACACACAAATAGATACACACAAATAAAAAGATTCCCCATAGTTTCATATATATTCTGGGTTTGTGTCTCTTCCCCACCACTTCCCATATTTTCCAGTATTTTCCAGGAAACCGAAAATTAATTGTATCTGTGTGTTTCTTTCCCTCCTGATTATCGGGTTACCAAAACATGTTCATCTTAAGGCAGAAGCATCATCTAATAGTGCAGACAGTGTTCTCAGACCAGGAAAGGCATTGATTCAAAGAACACGGTCTCAGTCAGCAGCTGTATAACAACAAAACACAGTTCGTGCAGACTACAAAAGGTTATGAGACCACTCTTCGGTGAGCCTACAGGGAAGCCAGGACGCCTCGCCACTGCTTGACTGTTGGCTGTTGGGCAGGCGACGTGTTCGGTTCCGAGTGGAGGACGACCGCGGCCACGCCGACGGCGATGCCCAAGCTCAGAAATGGGCACTTCTTCGAAGGGGGCCAAGAACACACAAATAACCAGACACAGCATTCCCAGACGTTGCCCCACTGTTTCTGGACGCTTGTCTCTCCCTCCACTGCCCCAGATCTCCCCAGATCTTCCCACACATTCGTGGGGAATCGGCGATGATTTTGTGCCGATGGTCGGCGTGTTTTCCACCACCACTACCATAAGTGGGAGGGGGAGGGGGTCCTCCTCCTCCTCCTCCTCCTCGTCCTCCTCCTCATCCTCTACCTCCTTCCCCCCTCCAACTTATGGTGGTGGTGGTGGAAAACAGGCCCAATGCCGATGCTTTGCCTCCTGAGCTCTTCCCGTGCCAGCATCGACTGCGCCGCACGGACCTGCAGGTGTCACCCGCGGGGGCGCCGCGGGCCGGCGCCGCGGCGCCGGGCAACGGTGAGCCGAGACAACAGTCAACGCCTACATGCACCATTGAAGGGGCCCTGGGACACACAAATAAATACACACAAATAAAAATATTCCCCATATGTTCCCATATGTTCTGGATGTCTGTCTTCCCCCCCACTTCCCATATTTTCGCATATTTTCTGGGAATCGACGAATAATTGTGTCCGTGTGTTTTTTCCCCTCCTGAACCATATACGTCAACGGCTAGGAAGAACTGACTGAACGGGGGCTCCGTTGCAGCGAATGGCGGAAGAACTGACTGACTGACTATTTTAAACGGGGGCGGCGCTGGGGGAAGAGCAGCTGCGCTGGCGGAAGCACTAACTCAACGGGGGCACCCGCTGCAGCGAACTGTGCCACAGTGCAGCCGAAATGGGACAGGACGGGGGGGCGGCCGGAGGAGGAGGAGACGGAGCGAGGGCCGCTCGATACTAGACACGTACACGCGCAGGTGTGACATCCGCCACCGTGCCTGCATGAGTGGGCGTGGTAGAACTCGTCTTTTGCCTGTGAGGGTACGTATGTGAGGGTGTTGAGGACCACTCCGCCTTGCCGCACGCGTGCCCAAAAACCGCCCCTTCCGAGATTCTGTGGGTCTTTTCGGCCTCCAGATGGCCAAGGTGGCCTCCAAGACGGCTGCCAAGACAGCCGCGAGGACAACAGAAATGACTCAAGATGGCCAGCGACAGCTCAAGAGCCTCTCAAGAGAGCCTCAAGACGACTCAAGGCAACCCAGGAGGGCCTCAAGACGGCCCAAGAGGTCCGCAAGACGGCCCGACAGAGCTCCAAGAGGCATCCCTGGAGAACTCGAGGGGGCCAACACCATTGATGTTCCATAGGTGTTTGAAAGATGTTGAGGTTCTCGCCGATTCGGATTTCCGACCACTCAAGACGGCCTTAGAGGGATCCAAGAGGCCTCCAGGATAGTTCCAAGATTGCCCGAGAGGCCCCCAAGTGGGCCCAAGAGGATCCACAGATCGTCCTATGGGCTCCCAAAGAGGGCCCCAAGACGGCCTTGAAGCGCTCCAAGAAGGCAACAAGACGGCCCAAAGCGGGCTCTGGGACTATCTTGGGCGGTCGGAAAACCAAAACATGCCAGAACCTCAAATCATTCAAAAACCTTAGGACAATCAATGGTTGTGGCCTTCCCCGGCTTTCCTAGAGGGTCTCTTGGAGATCCCTTTGGCTGTATTGGGGCCCTGTATCTGTACTGAGGCCGTCATGGGAGCCTCATGGTTTCTAGGACCGCATTCGAAGCAGCCAAGATGACGCCAAAATGGCCCAAGACGACTCATGAGGCTGCCAAGCCAACCTCAAGGCAGATCCAAAAGCCCCCAAGACGACCCTCCTGGAGAGCGGGAGGAGGCCAAATCCAATGATCTGCCTCAGGCGTTTCAACAATCTTGAGATTCTCACCTGTTCGGGCTCCCGACCGCCCGAGCCCCAAGACTGCGGTGAGCCGCTCCAAGAGCGCAGCAACGCGGCCTAGAGAAGCCCCTAAGGCCAGGAGAGGCCAGGCCAGGAGAGGCCAGGAGAGAGGCCAGGAAGAGGCCAGGGGAGAGGCCAGGAGAGAGGCCAGGAGAGGCCCGAGAGGCCAGAACGACAAGCCAGGAGAAAGGCCAGGAGTGGCCAGGAAGAGGCCAGGAGAGGCCAGGAGAGGCCAGAAGAGGCTAGGAGGCAGGGGGCCAACGAGGCCGCAGGAGGTGAGGCCAGGAGAGGCCAGGAGAGGCGAGGAGGCCAGGATAGGCCAAGAGAGGCCAGGCGTAGACCTCGCGCGTGCCACGCGCGGCGCGCTCGATCGATCGAGCGGCGGTGAGCAACAAATGCCTCCTCTCGATCCCTTGTGTTGTTCTCTCTCTCTCTCACACACTCTCTCTCTCACTCCCTCTTGCTCTTCTCTCCTCCTTCTTCGCTCTCCTCTCTCTGACCTCGTCGCAAACCGACGGTTCCAGGACCTTAAGAAACGCTCGAGAAGGCCCGAGGCGCAACCAGATTGGCGGCACCCTTGCGTTTTCCTAGAATTTTAACGCGGCAACGGCACATAGTGATCTCACGCGAACTATGATAGATGTAAGACATATAACTACACAATAGAAAAACGTGGAACCTAGAACCTAGAACCTACAACGTAGAACGCAACAACACTTACATACACATTCTAAGAACTAGAACCTACAACCCTCTGGGCCAGCAAAAACCGCGCCGGCACCCCCACCACCCCCGACACCGCCAGCTTCCTGGAGCCTCTCGGCACAGATTCTGAAGGGGCCGTCTACCAAGCAAAAACCACGCCGGCACCCCCACCACCCCTGACACCGCCAGCCTCCTGGAACCTCTGGGCACAAATTCTTAGACAAGCCACCCACCCCGCAAAAACCGCGCCGGCACCCCCACCACACCTGACACCCCCAGCCTCCTGGAGCTTCTCGGCACAAATTCTCAGGGGCCACCCACCAAGCAAAAACCGCGCCGGCACCCCCACCACCCCTGACACCGCCAGCTTTCTGGAGCCTCTGGGCACAAGTTCTTAAGGGCCACCCACCCAGCAAAAACCGCGCCGGCACCCCCACCACCCCTAGCCTCCTGGAACCTCTGGGCACAAGCTTAGAAGCCACCCACCCACCAAAAACCGCGCCGGCACCCCCACCACCCCTGACACCGCCAGCCTCGTGGAGCCTCTCGGCATAGATTCTGAAGGGGCCACCCACCCAGCTAAAACCACGCCGGCACCCCCACCACCCCTGACACCGCCAGCTTCCTGGAACCTCTGGGCACAGGTTCTTGGGGGCCACCCGCCCAGTTCAAACCGCGCCGGCACCCCCACCACTTCTGACACCGCCATCCTCCTGGAGCCTCTGGGCACAACTTCATATAATTTAGAAGCCACCCGCCCAGCAAAAACCGCGCCGGCACCCCCACCACCCCTGACACCGCCAGCCGCCTGGAGCCTCTGGGCACAGATTCTTATGGGCCACCCACCCAGCTAAAACCGCGCCGGCACCCCCACCACCTCTGACACCGGCAGCGTCCTGGAGCCTCTCGGCACAGATTCTTAGGGGCCACCCACCCAGCAGAAACCGCGCCGGCACCCCCACCACCCCTGACACCGCCAGCCTCCTGGAGCCTCCGGGCACAAGTTCTTAGGGGCCACCCACCCAGCGAAAACCGCGCCGGCACCCCAACCCTTGCAACCGCCAGCCTCCTGGAGCCTCTCGGCACAAGCTCTTAGGAGCCACCCACCCAGCAAAAACCGCGCCGGCACCCCCACCACCCCTGACACCGCCGACTTCCTAGAGCCTGTGGGCACAGATTCTTAGTAGTAGTAGTGGTAGTGGTAGTAGTAGTAGTAGTAGTAGTAGTAGTAGTAGTAGTAGTAGTAGTAGTAGTAGTAGTAGTAGTAGTAGTAGTAGTAGTAGTAGTGGTAGTGGTAGTAGTAGTAGTCGTAGTCGTAGTCGTAGTAGTAGTAGTAGTAGTAGTAGTAGTAGTAGTAGTAGTAGTAGTAGTAGTACTAGTACTAGTACTAGTACTAGTATAGTAGTAGTAGTAGTAGTAGTAGTAGTAGTAGTAGTAGTAGTAGTAGTAGTAGTAGTAGTAGTAGTAGTAGTAGAAGTAGTAGTAGTAGTAAGTAGTAGTAGTAGTAGTAGTAGTAGTAGTAGTAGACCTAGTAGTAGTAGTAGTAGTAGTAGTAGTAGTAGTACTAGTAGTAGTAGTAGAAGTAGTAGTAGTAGTAGTAGTAGTAGTAGTAGTAGAAGTAGTAGTGGTCGTCGTCGTCGTAGTCGTAGTCGTAGTAGTTAGTAGTAGTTCGTAGTAGTAGTGGTAGTCATAGAGGTAGTAGTAGTAGTAGTGGTAGTAGTAGTAGTAGCAGTAGTAGTAGTAGTAGTAGTTCGTAGTTCGTGGTTAGTAGTAGTAGCTAGTAGTTGGGAATGAGGAGATAGTAGCTAGTAGCTAATATGTAGTAGTTCGTCATAGAAGTCGTAGCAGTACTAGTAGTAGTAGTAGTAGTAGTAGTAGTAGTAGTAGTAGTGGTAGTAGTAGTCGTAGTAGTAGTCGTATTGGCAGTAGTAGTAGTAGTAGTAGTAGTAGTAGTGATAAAAGTAATAGTAGTAGTAATTAGTAATAGCTTGTAGTTCGTAGTAGTAGTAGTAGTAGTAGTAGTAGTAGTAGTAGTAGTGGTAGTAAAAGTAATAGTGAAAGTATCAGTAGTAATGGTAGTAAGTAGTAAGAAGTAAGTAGTAAGCAGTAAGTAATAGTAGTAGTAGTGAAAAAAATAATAATAGAAGTAATATTAGTAGTATTAAAATTAGTAGTGGTAGTACTAGTAGTAGTGGTAGTAGTTGTAGTAGTGGTGCTGGTAAAAGTAGTAACCGTAGTAGTCGTAGTGGTAGTAGCCGTTAATAGTTGAAATGGTAGTAGCAGTAGTGGAAGTAATAGTAGTAGTAGTAGTAGTAGTAGTAGTAGTAGCTGTAGTAGTTGTAGTAGTAGTGGTAGTGGTAGCGGTAGTAGTAGTAGAGTAGTAGTAGTAGTAGTAGTAGTAGTAGTAGTAGTAGTTCGAAGTAGTAGTGGTAGTAGTAGTAGTAGTCGTTGTTGTTGTTGTGGTAGTTGTGGTAGTAGTAGTAGTAGTAGTAGTAATAGTAGTAGTAGTAGTAGTAGTAGTAGTAGTAGTAGTAGTAGTAGTAGTAGTAGTAGTAGTAGTAGTAGTAGTAGTAGTAGTAGTAGTAGTAGTAGTAGTAGTAGTAGTAGTAGTAGTAGTAGTAGTAGTAGTAGTAGTAGTAGTAGTAGTAGTAGTAGTAGTAGTAGTAGTAGTAGTAGTAGTAGTAGTAGTAGTAGTAGTAGTAGTAGTAGTAGTAGTAGTAGTAGTAGTAGTAGTAGTAGTAGTAGTAGTAGTAGTAGTAGTAGTAGTAGTAGTAGTAGTAGTCAGGGGCCAGAAATGATGATCTTCCCCTGGTCGGCCTGTAGAGTTTAATTTAGTGGCCCTCATACCCAAATTATCGTTGATCGCGATGAGGCCGACATCTGCGCGACGCGACGCCAACTGTGCGAATCGACCGGGCTTGCGATGTGAAGAAGCGCCCAGCACGGCGTCGCACGACAATTGGACACCATGACCCGCAGCCTGCGAGAAACCCTTCAGGCGCCTATGGCGCTCTCTGGGCGGCCTGGGATTGCAGGAGTTCCACGTCGGCCTGAACGCGCCGACAAATGACCCCGGGCGTCTGGTGAGACCCAGATCCCCAATCCGTCGCCGAGACGTCCCTACGAGCTTCCTCATCGACGCAAGTGGGCCCAATAGCTCCACGGGGCCCTCGGGGGAGCTAGTAGGAAAACCCGAAAAAGAGCGCGACAGGCCCCAAGAGACGCCCGATACGCCGTAGAGCGAGCCCCCCGCAAAAGCACGCAAGGAACCACTCGCATCCGCCCCGGACACGGACGCAACCCAGACCCGCGACCGGTGAAATGAAAGAGTTTACGGTTTTGGCCCGCCCAAAATAACGCGCGCCCTCAAGCGGCGGGCCGATCGACGCAGGGCCGCGTCCTCGCTTGAGCGC